AAAAAAAATCATACCACCGAGCTCTCGAACCTCAAATTTGGGTAATTAAACCTAACATTTTCAATTGTATCAACGTTACAAAACCGAACATATCTAGCTTATCAGCATCACTAAGCATTTGACAAAAGAAAGCCTTTTTAGGACAAAAAAAAAACAAAAAAGGAAGCCACGTAAAAAAAGGACGAAAAACTTTTTACCTTGCTGATATGTTATCAACTTTTCCAAATGGTGAATTGGGGGCTGCACTGACGAATTCCACCCCAATCCACACCGCATACTGTCTGTCTTTGCAGCTTAGGGATGAAACACTGACAGCCAAGTTTACATTCAGCCTTCACACAGGTCCTCATTACATCTCTTGAACATTTTTCCATAAAATATGCTGTTTCACTTTCTTTTTTTTACTTCTTGATTTCGTGATCTTTCCTTTCAATCCTCATTGATAAAAATTTATTATTTCCATTTATATCCTTTTTTCTTTTTTCTCTATATTCCTTTTAGTTTAACCATTACCCCTTTTACTTTTTCCAATTAAATTTTCACTTAACCTCAAATAAGCTTTCTGCTGTTGTTGTTTTCTTTGATTTTTTTTTTTAATTTCTGCCTATCATAATTTTCCCCGTCTCCCTTAGCTTGCACTTTTAGACGACAGCCTTACCAATTGAGAGGAGAATGGATCAGTATGTAAATCCATATTTACACACAATTTTACAAACTTGAAGTGTAAGATAAGAAATGTATACGACTTAATGGACCGAAACATTTCTTATCTACTTCAATAATTTCTTACATGCTTTTCATCGTTTTTTCTCACATTTTTTCTTCAACCCCAAATAAGTTTTCAACCCCAAAACTTGCTCAAATTCGAGCCCCAACTTTCGAAACCGCCACTTCGGGGGTCCGAAAGTTGGGGCTGAAAATTTGGGTACATTTTGGAACAGGAAAACTAGTGAAGCAGCTGTTGCTCACTTGAAAATTGACTCGTTTGAGGTGATGCTGGCAAAGGTCAACGTGGACTATGCGGCCGATCTAGCAATGGATTATGAAGTAAATGCTGTGCCCACTGTACTGGCTGTACGAGACGGTGAAGTTACGGGACGTTTCGAAGGCGTACAGAATGACGAAGAACTCGATCAGTTCATTGAGGATTTGGTTGGTTCAGAAGGCTAAAA